CTGAGCTGTTGAAAAAACTCTATATCATGTAACAGACGCATCAAACTGACCATATCACAATGATCACTGCTGCCCTTTATGGAATGGAAATGTTCATTTACTGTCTGGAAAGCTGTACTAAACAAAATTTTGTTTTGTATACACTGTGTATACAAAATGACTATAAAAGTTGTCTGAGTCTAAATATACAGATAAACAACAGAAAATAAGATGGAAGTAAGAAAGGATGGGAAATTCAAAGTACAATCTGGCCATTTAGGGAAACCTGATCTGGTTTACTTCCTATGGTGTTAGAAATAACCAACACTTTTCACTGTCTCTATTCTTGTATCATCATTTAGAAGGTTTAAATTTAAAAAAAGAAAAAAAGAAAAAGGTATTTGGAGCAGAAGTACCTAAAATGACAAGAATTTTTACTAGATTCCAAATAATTAAGCCGTTTATTCTGTCTTGAAGAGCCGTGTTATGTTAACAATAATAGATCGCAAAGTCTGAGCCAAACAGGTGCCCTGGCACTACAAAGAGAAGAAATGTGGGATCCTTAAAAAACCCAACAAAGGACTTAAGCAGTGGCAGGAATGAAAAGAAAATTTCCAGCTGAAGGAGGACAATCATTTGGAAGATTTTAGCACACTGGCTAGATAATAAATTTCAGCTTTTGATACAGCTATTACTGCCTGCAAAGAAGTCTTTGATGGTAATTGAAACCACTGGACAGCAATCTGCTTTATAGTACTGACAAATAACAGCTTCCTAGGGCTAACATCAGAGGTTAGAAAGCTGAGGAGGTACATACTTGCTCCATATGGTCATTCAATATAAATACAAATCAAAAACAAGCGTGACTTCACAGAGACAGAACAATGCTGAGGATGGTCCCGGGTCTCGGCTCTGGCAGTGGAAAAATTCTGTTTTTAAATTCCTCGCATTACCTTCACCAGAGATCCAGCAAGAATCTGCTTTCAGCACATTTATCAAACCATGTGCCGTCTTTTCTTAATGATGTAACTGTAATTTCATAAAACTAAGGTTTCAAAAAGGTACCCTAAATAAAACTCTTGCATCAGAAAGACATTATTCAGAAAGAAGTATGTCTATTCAATTCAATTCAATTCAGTTTATTTATATAGCGCCAAATTCACAACACATGTCATCTCAAGGCACTTTACAGTTCAACCAGATCATACAGTCAAATTGATACAAAGTTTTCTATCTAAGGAAAACCAGTTGATTGCATTGACTCATTGACTCAAATACAATCCCAATACAAATGGAGTCTAAAAGTTTTTTTTTTGTAGCATTATATGTTTTACTTGCAGAGATTTTATACCCTCATTATATCAGGAAAAGGAAGTCTTGTCAAAGGGTCACCCAGGGATGACGCAACGGGCATTAACAGAAAACACGTCTCCATCTTGAGCACAAACACATTGGCCAGATCCATTCATAGGACTTTTTTGATGACAGAAGAAGTTCAAAGCAGTTCTTCCTCTTCTCGCTTACTCCAGATGAAACCACATCAGAATATGTATAGGAGTGACCTCGTCTGATGCCAGACCCGGCAGGTCAGATACAAGAACAGAGGTGCCTACTTTAGAGCCTGATTCACTGTTCGACAAATGACAGGCACTGTTGAGGACGGTAATTGGCTTGTCTTACTGCAGAGAGTCTGCACATTATCATTGCTCACAGAGCCTCAAACACAAGCATCAAAAAAAGGGAAGAAGTTTCTTTTCCTCTCTGAATTCATTATGACTGACAGTAAAACGTGAAAATACAGTAAGTTTGACTTATTCCCTGTTGGAACAAACTAATGGTGGACAGAGCATGAGAAGTGAATAGAGAGAATGAGTTTTTAAAAACACAGTTGAACCCCTTTTATTATTGTAAAAACAGATCGAATCGAAATGTATTGATTTAGAACTATATGAATCAAAATAGAATAGATTCAGGACTTTGGCGAAAATACTCATCCCTAATCAGCATAGAAGTTTGTTAATGCGATCTGAATCCTCTGTACTAAATTATATATATATACTGACTGGGTTAGTTTCAAAATATAAAACTGATTGTTTAGGGGAAAAAAACTAATCTTCAATGATAAAACAAAAAATTTGGTTTTCGACCATATCAGAGGCTTCACAGAACTTTAAAAGCACGGAAGACACTAAAGCTCTAAGTAATGATGTCTGTCATTACAGCGATTACCAAAAGAGTTAAATTAGGTCATCAAAACTTACAAAAGTGACTTACTGGCAAATTTTTTTTACTTTAAAAAGTCTGTCTTCAGAGTGCTTTATAAACTTAAACATATTATTTATGTGCCCTTATGTCATTCTATATTATTTAGTAATTAATAAAAAAAAAATGAAATGTTTTAGTGTTCATTCAGTAAAAGTTGATAATATTAGAGTTTTCAGTCAAGAAATGTGTTTTGTGCATGAATGAGCTCCAGAGTTACCTGATTTGCAGACTGATTTGCTTTATAAGCGTTTTTTATTGGGTTTTATAAATTTGCTGCTTCAATTTTTTGTTTGCTTTCCTGCAAAGATGAGTTATCCAAGCTCTAGGTGGATAATCAGAGTAAATTGTATGATTTCACCCATGATTAGAATTAACATTTTACTTTTTTGAATTTAGATGTTACCTAAATGCTGCATGAATTCTTCTGCTATACAGACTGTAAAGATACCATCCCATAATTACAGGATGGAAATCCTTAGTTTCAGTAGGAGTTACAACATATGTGGATGGTGTGGTAGTTAAAATATGACAAATTGTGTTCAATCAAAGAGCAGCAGATCTTTCAAAGTAAGTCAAGGTAATTTATGTCAACCATAACTATGACAGACAATAAAAATATGTGAATCATAGTTAGACACATGAACAAAACACATGCTGAGTAATGACAAATGGAGGTTGGATAAAGGCAGATTCTGACATAGTAAGAGTATAAAACACAAGACTTTTTTCTGTGTGTTTTTTTTTTAAAGCATATGGATCCAGTTTTCATAAAAAAAAGTAGTCAAAGGATATTTTTCAAACACATTCTTTCCTTTGAGGACTCGGGCAGATGGAAGGAAATGTAGGTTATAAATAGGAATCCAAAGAACCGTCATCCTTTAATAACTAAGGATGCCAGACGTGCTCACATCTTTCACAGTGGGTGAGCTTTTAAGCACTTTGCAAGACAGGTAAATGAAACGTGTGTGTTAAATCACTTTTGGTGCGCTCACTTAGGTCAACTCTACCATAAAAGAAAAGATATTACACAAGGAACTAATGAAGACACTGATCAAAGTATGTAATGGTAATATGTAACAGGTGTTTTAGACCCCTGCGCCGCCCTCCCACAACCAAACACCAGACCGTCCGTGAAACCTGAATGCATTTCATATGTGCTCTGATACGAACAATGGACTAAACATATTTCAGTACTGTTCTGTCCAGGTTACAAGCAATCTGGTTCCGCTCTTGAGAGGGCATTCACAGGTGACAGCCAAAGGCAGTCACACCGCTGCTGTGTGTTTACAGTGCACTTTCACGATGGTGCTGAGTTAAAAAAGGGCTGATGTAGCCGAAAGCCCACATCACCAGAAAAGCAGGCACCTGGATTTGAGACGCATGCAAGAGTTGAAAGAAGGTTGGCAAGAGTTAAGATGGAGCCCGTTCAAAGCATGATAGCTATTTTTACACATGGCTTAAGATGAAAGTAGCGCTGCTTTTGATTTGGAAAAAGTGGGGAACATATGGATTGTTCCTACAGTATGAAGGATTAATTTTAGATCCCCTTTGGTAAGCTAATGATAGGAGTAATAAAACTAATTATAATAATATCATGAAGCTTGGTTTCTCCCACTTTTTTGCAGGACAAACAGAAAAATAAACATAAATAATTCAAGATTAAATTTTTTATTCGAATCAAACAAAAGCACCACTGTAAGCACTAATATACAATAACTTTTAGATAAAAGGACTTTCATGAATAAATAAATCAGTATCTGAAGCATCATCCTATAAGAAAAAAAAAACAACAACTAATAAATAAAGAATTAATTTAAGATGAAATAAAAACTTTTTTTTTTCTTCTTCAACAGTAAATAGTTACAGGTGTTTATGTACGGAAGAGGATTAGGGCCACTGAAAAAAAAAAAAATTAACTGATTTTTAAATTTAATTTCAGTTTAATATGGGTGAAAAAAAAAAATTAGAATTCTGACTTTAATCTCAGAATTATGACTTTTTTACAATATTAAACTGAAATAAAATTTAAATATCAGTTAACTTTTTTAATTTTTCAGTGGCCCTAATCCTCTTCCATATTTTTGAGAGTGTCTCTGTGTTTGTTGAGTTAATAAAAAATAGATTTAAGATGAAATAAAAACTTTTTTTTCCCAACAGTAAATAGTTACAAGCGTTTATGTATGGAAGAGGATTAGGCCCACAGAAAAAATAAAAAAGTCAACTAATTTTTTTATTTTATTTCAGTTTAATATGGGAGGTCTCATAATTCTGACTATTTTCTCAGAATTCTGACTTTTTTTTTTTACTTTTACGGAATGACTATGACCTGGATGACCGAGAATCTTCATCAGCATATCAAATTTTTTTCACAGAATTCTCACTTTAATCTCAGAATTCTGACTTTTTTTTTTTACTTTTACGGAATGACTATGACCTGGATGACCGAGAATCTTCATCAGCATATCAAATTTTTTTCACAGAATTCTCACTTTAATCTCAGAATTCTGACTTTTTGTCCCCCCTATTAAATTAAAATAAAATGTAAATATCAGTTAACTTTTTTTATTCTTTTAGTGGCCCTAATCCTCTTCCGTATTTATGAAAGTATCTCTGTATTTGTTGAGTTTTTAATCATTTCTGGGAACGTGCTGGCTCTGCGCACAGACCCCTAACGCTGCTTCCGCTGCGGCCGCCATGACACTTTCGGGAATTGTAGTTCTTTCAGCTGCACTTTTAGAGTCCCACTTTAGAATTCTTCACCCGAACTCACATAACGCCGCGGTGCATGGGTCATCGCTTTGCAAACAAACCAAATCAAACCATTTCCAACCTGATCAGGATGATAGAATGAGCAAATATCGAAAGGTTTTTTTTCCCCGTGCACTACAACAACCAACATCGCCTCTAATGAAAGCGAGGCAGTGTAAACACAACTCCAGGAACATGAAAAGATCGGATGACAGTGAGAGAGAGAAGGGAAGAAAGGTATTCATAGCGTTTTTCTCCGTTCGGTCTGGCATATTTGTAAGCCTGGTCGCTGGTTGAATATCTAAGGCTCCTAATGCGCTGCTGCTGGCTGCATTCTGGAGGCTGCAGGGCTTCCGATGTCAGCGCATACCTCACCTTGCCTGCTTCCTTTATTGTGTTTTTCCATTTTCCCCTCTGCTCAGTCTGCCAAAATGAAGAATTACAGCCACATTGACAGAGCATTTTACAAAATAGACGCACTGATGATGTGCAGCTTTTAGGTTACAGGAGAAGGTCTGAGCGACACCATAGATATTAGAAACAAACCGCATGTATGAACATTTTTGCATTATCTTCATTTTGATCATCCATAGACATATATAAATATAAAACTAAGCAAGATTTGAAAGTACTAGTTTGGATGTAATATTTGGTTTATATATAAAGTTTGGTATGAATGAGAGAGAAGGATGGGGAAAAAGAGCTTCTAAATGTTTTGCATCAACAAAGCAACAAAGTGCAACAGTTTAAACAAATATTTAAGTTAGAATTTGGAAGTTTGGTTTGTTGCCAGGTCAGCAGGCTCCAGCTGCGCTAGACTTTACTAACAGTGGCGGTTCTAGAGCAGATTTAATGGGGGCAGGTTGGGCCAGTGTTTTTTATTTTATTTTTTTATTTTTATCGGTGTAAAAAAAACAAAAACAAAAGAAAGTGTCTGCTGTAGTATATTGATTGAGCCACAAAGCCAAGGATCCAGAGCGATGATCTAAACAATGAAAACTGTAACGCTCTGAATATAGTTAAATTGTTATTGAAAAATACTAAATTGGCCCAAGTAATAATTAAGTTTGGTCTCTACTACAGTATTAGCCCATACATCACCAGGGGCGGAGCTAATGGGGGGCCATTCATTTCCCTCTAAAACCGATGGTGGCAGCAGTAATACTCTCAAGTGAAATATTCAAAAAAAAAAAATTCATATATTAACAATTACTTTACAACAAAAACAATAGTTAATTATGCACATCAATATACTAACATTAAAGATTATAAGTACAGAATGCATGCTCTTCAGAAATAGATTTTGTTTTATAGAGTAAAGAGAAAATGTATCTTCAAGTCACTAAGTAGTCTTCAGTGAAATCATAGATAAATACCTTTTTTTTAATAAAAATGTAATAAATAATCAATTTATGTAGATATTAGTACTTGTAAATATACATTTATGCAGAAAGATTACTCATAAAAGTAGATATGTAATGACAATGGAAAAAATGTTTGCCCGAAACTCAAACCTGAAAGAATTTTATCCACTATACGTCTTATCTATAAAGCACAGATGTTTGAATATATGCGTCTTTTAGTTAGAAAAGGCCTTGGGAAAGTATAGTTAGACTTTATTTAGAAAATACGGATGTTTTGCTCATTAATTTTCCTGTTGGAACATTGTAGATTGACCGTGAGATTTTGGTGCCTGTCTACTTTCGGCCACCCCTCAGTGTACATTGGTTATTGCCTGGCCACCCTCATAAAATTGATTTACTGTAGGATTAGACTGGAAAATTTGATCTAAAAACATGTGATGATTTCTTCAAATAAGTGTATACTCCCTTATTTGAGCAGGTAAATAAGATGATCTGCTTTAGAAATGAGTATTTTCCCCTTTGAAATAAGCTTATTAGATATGCACCTGAAGTAAGATAATAAAGCTGTGTTTTTGTAATATTTAAAACATAAACAATTTAGTTAAATTGGCAGATTGTCTTATCCATCTGCTTAATCAATGGAAAAAAAACACTTATTTCAAGATAAATTTAGTTATATTAAATATTTGCATTTATGTTTATAGATTAGGGTCTAGAACATAGGCTAGTTCAACAGTTGGGAAATAAAGCGAATTAAAATAAAGGTCATTCTTTTATCCATTGTTATAGTTATCAGTCATTTTCTATTACACATTAACTTTCAGCTTAAATAAAAACAAACAATCTAAAGGTTAAAAATGAGACTGCTGTATTCTTTTTTAATTGTTGTGTAAATTTATTTACTACATTTGACACTGAGGGTCGATAAATGATTGTTAATAGTTTGAATTAAAGTGACTTGATTGGCTTTTAAGTTTTTTGTTTTTTTTAAGGGTTTATTATTATTTGTTCCAACATCAAAAACAATGGCTAAACATTTTGCATTAAATAGAAAAGAGGCAGTTTTCATTTATTCCCAAATGGATCTTTAAATTCAATTTATGTTGAAATAAACCATTGTACGGCAAGCATTTATTTTTAAGGTGTTTAAGTAGTCTTTTATAATCCTGTAAATACGTTTTACACAGGGTCTGATTACCAGATAATGACACTTTTACGTGATCTCCATCAGCTGGCAGTACTCGTTTTACTTCGCAGTCTTAACTTCTGCTTGAACAAGTTAGAACATTCACATTATATTCCAAATGTTACTCTTGTCTTATGTCTCCTGACATCCCATATTTTTTTTCTTTTTATGCCTCAGCTGGAAAATACTAACTTATGAGAGTAATCTACGGAAATGTAGAAATTCATAAAGTTATAGCACCTAACTGGGTCCCTTCAAAGTACATTTTTTTTTCAGCATTTGTTTAAATTCAAAACTTGCTCAAGGTGCTTTTTTGTTTAGGGTTTAATTCCTTTCCATGTGATGCAAGATAGAGCAGGCATACCAAAAGTCGGTCCTCGAGGGCCGCTGTCCTGCAGGTTTTAGAGCTTTCCCTGCTCCAGCACAGCTGATTGACATTGATAGTTGATCAACAGGCTTTTGCTGAACTGCAATCATCAGAATCAACTGTGCTAAAGCAGAGAAACCTCTAAAACCTGCAGGACAGCGGCCCAAGAGGACCGACTTTGAGGATACCTGCTTTAGCGTGGCTCCTTAAGGCTTGTTTATGCTCAGAAACCAGGTCGTATCTCTGTTTGGTCTACACCAGACATCCCCAAACTCGGTCCTCAAGGCCCGCTGTCCTGCAGGTTTTAGAGGTTTCCTTGCTCCAGCACAGCTGATTTTAATTGAAAGCTGATAAACAGGCTTTTGGTCTACTGCAATCATTATAACCTGCTGTGCTGAAGCAGAGAAACCTCTAAAACCTGCAGGACAGGGGGCCTTGAGGATCGAGTTTGGGGATCCCTGGTCTACACTATGCATATTTCCTGTTTGGCACCTTTCCGGCTTGTTTTGTTTGTATGACCGCCGTTGTGGAAAACGATTCCTAAAGATGGACCAGCTAGAAGAACGAGGTGCTCAAGAACGCTGGGACCCTTTTTCCACCTGCATCCCCGCTCTTTTTTGCCCTCATGTCCCTCCGTTGTCGGAAAAAACTTGCCCCTTGCGTTTTTGCACTTCCTCATTGCCTCGGCCGTATCTAGACCCACAGCTAGTTTATGATTGCCACGTTGTGGCGTGGAATAACATAGCTCAGACCACGCTTCAAAATTGGGCATAAATCAAAAACATCTGCATCATACCTGCGACAAGCTTACTGCGACACAGTGCTGCGGGAGTATAACCAGCCCTTTATTCTGCTGCTGGACGCTGCACTGGCTGAGGCTTGTCGATACCTTGGTACCATCCAACTGCGATCTGTTAACTCAAGGATTTCGTACTGTGAATATGTCATACTGGTCTTTGCCCTTTGAGTTGTACATAAAATGGCAGGAGTTGGGATTTCTATGCATTTGGTTCTGTTAGGAGACATTGCTGCTGTTTGGGATATTCTCACAGTATCATAGTGTTAGCAGAAATACTACAGGCAGATGGAGTTTACACAAAATTTCCGATGAAAGATGTATATGAATTGCTTTAATGTGAAAAAGAAAAGCGCTTATTAATTTTCCTGCTGAAATATTTTACATTTTAAGTTATAATAATGTGACCGACATAGATGTCTTGTTATTTTGATATTGGTTGGTCAACAAAGGTAGGGAAAAGTTAAGCCTGACCCATATACAGTATCGCCCATCTTGTTTTTCTGGGTCCTTTTTCTGATATCCTATTTTAAGAATTTAAAGTGTTTCCTTGATAATCAAAACGAAAATGCTGTTGAACTTATACTCTCGCCTCATATTGTCCGTCTGTCTGATTCTCCTCCTGTCCTCCAACTTATTGACTCTCTTACCGATCGAAGCACATGTGTTTGGATCACGTCAGACAGCAGTGAAACTATGTAAGACGTGGTTCCTCCTGTTTATGAAAGCAGCCGTTGCAGCCAGATGAGCGGCTCAGAGAGGAACTCATTCCAGCTGGCCCTTTAGGCAGTCGGACGACAAAGACCTAATGGCTTAGCTTCTTTTCTCTCTAGATAAATAAAAGATTCAGCAGCAGGCAACGTAATTGCAAATCGACTTTATCACTGTAAAGCAGCCAAGAAAGAACTGCATGTAGTTTAACCAGCTGTTTGGGGCAGCTCTACAGGTGCTGGTCATAAAATTAGAATATCATGAAAAAGTAGATTGATTTCAGTAATTCCATTTAAAAAGTGAAACTTGTATATTATATTCATACATTACATACAAACTCATATATTTCAGATGTTTATTTTGTTTAATTTTGATGATTACAAATGACAACAAATGAAAATCTCAAATTCATCATATCAGAAAATTAGAATATTGTGAAAAGGTTCAAAATTGATGGCCCCTGGTGCCACACTCTAATCAGCTAATTAACTCAAACCACCTGCAAAAGCCTTTAAATGGTCTTTCAGTCTAGTTCTATAGGCTACACAATCATGGGGAAGACTGCTGACTTGACAGTTGTCCAAAAGACGACCATCGACACCTTGCACAAGGAGGGCAAGACACAAAAGGTCATCGCTAAAGAGGCTGACTGTTCACAGAGCTCAGTGTCCAAGCACATTAATAGAGAGGCGAAGGGAAGGAAAAGATGTGGTCGAAAAAAGTGTACAAGCAAGAGAGATAACCGCACCCTGGAGAGGATTGTGAAACAAAACCCCTTCAAAAATGTGGGGGAGATTCACAAAGAGTGGACTG